CACTTTCTCCCGTTTTCTTTTTCTCCCGTCATCACCATCATCGCATCGTCCCCTCGCCATCATCATCCTTTTCTGCTGGACGCGACCACCTCCATCATCAGACATCCACCGCGAGCAGGCCCTTCCTCCAGCGAGCTCTTCTCCGTCAACGTCCGTTCTTAGCCGACGGGTTCCGTCGAGTCCCGTCGGAGTGCCTAACGTGGCCGTCGAGTCCCGTCGAGTTCCGTCGGAGTGTCAAACGTAGCCGGCGAGCCCCGTTATCCAATCGCAGGCCCCGACGTCGCCACCCTCTGTTTTCTGGTCGTGAGTTGCATCCCTAGTTGCTGCCTCTGTTCCGATCATCGAGCCACCATAATCATCACAGCACCTCACGGACGAGCAACAGAGCACCGGCGATCGTCCCATCCAGTTGCAGCAATCATTATCACCACCATCGCCGCATGATCCCCTGCTCCTTCGCAAGCTCCTTACAGAACTCAGCTGTGAACCACCGTGCACCGGCTGTCACGAACAAAGCACCTCCGTGAGTGACCTTTGAGCACCACTGCACCTCCGGCGATCCCAGCAGGTTCCACTGTCCGTACGTGCGCCATCACGAGCTCAACCGCTACCTAGTTGATGTCCCGCGAGCCCGTCGACGACAGCCGCGAAACCCCGGTGAGTCCCTGCTCCTCCGCGAGTCCTCGCCGTGAATCAGCAGTCTCGTTCGAGCCCGACGGCTGCTGCTCCTCCTCCGCATGAGACGAAGCGAAGCCGTCAAGCCTACTGATTGTACCGTTCATCCCTTTCGTTCCATTTTGTTTTCGATTATTTCCCGAGAACGGTACTTGCGCTCGAACTCCGCTCGTTTATCGTTTGATTATGTGTTTAAGTGCTCGTATATGTGTTGTTATTGCTGAACGTATGATAGTCGAGTTGGTTATATGCTTTAGTAATATGTTCGTGTGAATTTTGATATATATATATTTGTCGTTGGGTATCAAAGTGATTGCCGTCACTTTGAAAAAATTGTCGAACTGAGGTTATTGTATAATTTCCCGTGGAAGTGCTGTGGAATTTTGGACTTAGGAATGTCCTTGACGCAATGGCTTTGGCCTTGTGTCGTTTCGTTGTGTATATTGTAAGTTATGCATTTTTGAAAATTGAGCTGCAGGCCGTTTTTGCTAAAATCACTATAATTCGTGTATTGCTCCAAAAATTCTGATTTTTGGATATGTTGTAATGTTGCTGTTTTAATACCTGTGGTTAAAATATGAGATTTTTATATGGCCTTTAGCCTTGTCAAAAACTCGAAAACCATTTTTGGACCGTTTATTAATAAATTCATATAAAATAGAGTTCCGGTCTAAAATGTCTAATTTTTGGATATGTTGCTTTTCTTTATGTTATCTTACTGCTGTAAAACTTTCAAAGTCAAATTCGAACTGTAGCTATTTGAATTAATTTAATTCAATTTCTGGTCAGTTTTTACTTGAATTATTTAAAATGGTTAGGAGCATGTTTAGGAGTTTTCCTTTGGTGAAAATGTGTGTTTTTTCAGCCATTTATATGCTGTAAAAATTTGAATTGTAAAGGCTAAGCCTAACCCCTTATGGTCTCATTCAATTTATTTTGAACTAGTCCTTTTTAATCGTTTTTGGCTTGTTGGTAATTGCTTGACCTGTTGACCCTGCTTTTATGTCAAACTTTCGTTTCCTGCTTTTATAAGATTATTTAATTGGTTGGTCGAGTCTAGGAGTCGTCCTAATGTTCCAACTCCACAACTTCCACGAGTTTCTTAGTCGATGTAATTCGACTAAGTATAATTCTCGTTATCTGTGTAAGAGTCGAGATAGTTGCTTATGGGACTGTCTTGACTTATGTAGGTGTCTGACGAGCAGTGCCTCAACCACCTACGAATTTTGGTTAATTTGCTTTATCAACCGATTCCAGGTGGGTTTACTTATTCAAAACTTGCTATGTCATATATGTGTGTTTCTTGTTGAGATGGTATGACTTTAGTATGTATGTAAATCATGTAGCCTATCGGCGTGAGCCGATGTCGGCCGTCGGTACAGTTGTCCCCGTCGAGTTACGGTACGGTTGCCCTTGCGAGGCAAGTCTCCGTAAGACCTAATGAAAGGCCGTGTCCGTTACAGTGGCACGTACCCCCATGAGTTAGGGTAATGAATCCCCTATCCTTGGCTAATGAGAGATGTGTACACGTGGGTAATAAGTTATGATGTGATGTGATTTGGAGACGTGACAAATGATTGCTTTATGTTCATACTCTAACCATACCAGCTGTTATTATTATATATGTGCATAGTGGTGAGCACGTTTATCATCTTGTGCTCATCCCCACCTGCTCTTCACCGATGCAGGTTAAGCAACAACCGGGTGACGAGGAAGGGACGAGTTGGGTCGGTCTAATTACTTATGCATTTTAATTACTTCCGCTGAACTTGAATAAGTCTGTTGCACGTTATGTTTTTGTGCAAACTATTTTCGAACCATGTGTGTTGGTTTTGAAACTTATGAACCTTTGTTGTTTTGGGATTGATGTTTGATTATTTATTTCATGAGTTTATGTTGGTTAATGAAAACCGATTGTTAAAACTGGGTAATGAATCCCCGTAGGCCCAGATAAGACTTGGGATATGAAAAATGTTAGTTAACACTCACTAAATTTTCGAAAATGATTTTGAAAATTTTATACTGGTTTTTGGAAAAATCCAGAGTTTCTGTAAAATCAAAGTGGGGTGTTACATTCCTACCCTCGACGCTTTAACATACCATTTGCATTCCGTACATATGCACTTGACGTAGTACTGCTTCGGACAAGACTTCTCCACTTTGAACTGATATTGGTTTGTTATTGCATGGTGGCTGAGCAACTTGATCACTTCATTTTTATCTCTGAAAGATTTGCCGACCACAACATCCCAACTCATACTTCCATCGACACATCATTCAAATGTTCTAGAGTTGTTTATCTACTGTTTATCTTCCGTATACTTAACTGCTTCCAACATTGTATCTGCAGCATGTTCCGCAAATGCTCTATAAAATTCATCTCTTTCAGAGTTTCCCCTGGCCGGCTCAAGACATTTTAACCCTTCTATATCACACACAGACGAATATGTAGACATTGGCATTATGCCTCGAACGGGTGAGGGGACGTTTATTATTATTTTTAAAACCACACACAAGGGAAACTTTGTGTAATCACACTCTTTCGATTTCAATGACATATAAAAATGTAGGCTACTATCATCATCCACACTCATAGCTGGATATCCATCTTTCACTTGATATTTCATCTCCAGATCATTTGAATACGCGTTTACCTTCAGCTTATCAAAAACAATATCTCGGAGCTGATTATAGTTACATGATGAACTAATCAAAATACCTCCAACGTCATAGTTCATGTATTCATTGTTGATCCATACTCCATTATGATGTAAAAACACATTAACATCATTCATGTTCCCGAAAAATAAACATATTCGCTTGACGTTAAAAAAAAATAAACAAAATGAAACAAACATATAACGGAGTATGTATTAAAAATAAAACAGAAATATGATATTTCACGAAAAAAAAAAGAAAAAAAAACAGATTATGGAGAGTGTATAAAAAAACGAAATCTAAAATTTAAAAACAAAAAAAAAAAAACCAACAAATACGTTTCCATCACCAAACAACAAAGTTAAATAAACATAAATATACCTTCAAACTTCTTTGATTCAACGACTACTTTACGATTTTTTGTCACGAACAACAATCGCTTTTTTCTCCGTCGCAAGTGTTTTTTGGTATGATAATCCTGGTTTTGGTACCCACTAATCTGTTGACGACGAGATTCTCCCGTTCTCTGATGTTTGAATTCGTGATTTCCTAGATTATAGGAAATCACGATTGCCCTCTTTTTCATTTTTTTTTTCTGTTGAACGTGTTTTGCCTTTTTTTTTTTGCGCCAATCTCGTTTGATGACCTTCAATAAATGGAGAGAGAATAAAGATATCTCATGATTTATTTACTATCTCGTATTTGTGGAAAAAAAATCATTACTAATTCCTCTTTTGATTATGTTTCCTTCTAATGGTATTTATGTAAATATTTCTAGTCTAGGGGTTATGTATGTATTTTTCCCAACGTTATAAACAACAAGGGAATGGACTAAACAACACGGCCATGTGAATTGAGAGAGTGTTGATTATAATCACAATTTGGTATTTGATTCATCTATTTTCAATGGTAGTCTAGATTTTACTATTTATATCTTCTTATAGACGCTTGAGAGGTGAATAAAAAACAACAATATATATTTTGATAGTTATTACGTAGATATTTGTTCAGTTTACAGCTTTTTTTTGGTACAAGTTCAGTTTACAGCTTTTGTAGAAGAGAATCACCGTTTCAACTTGTTTTTAAAGATCTGTTTTTGTTTGGTAAATATATATTCATTCTTTATAAGTGGTAATTTTGGTTTGTTTTGTTGTTGTAGTAGTTAAAAAGATATCATTTTGTCTCAAACATGTGTTGTAAAGAATTTATTATTTTTCTCCAAAAATATTTTTATTCTTCAAAAAAATAAAAATCATTCCTAAAATTAATCTTACAATTTTGATAGAATATTTTTAAAGTTCTATGTATTATTATATGTATTAAAAAATTATGTCTCAACTTTGAAACATTTTGTTACATTTCATTATGCTGTAATGAAAAAGAATGAAAATATGATATAAATATAAAACTACATTATTTAAAAGCTAAAGAAGTATAAATTATGCATCACACGTACACTTTACAAGTATACAAAAATGAACTTAAAAAAAATCCACATCAAACTTACCCTTAAAGCAATACATATGACACCAACATCACACACACCACAAAAATCACATCAAACACAAGTATACAACTTAAAAAATACTGCAACCACACCTTGAAAAGGGACAAGTCAATATGACACAAAGTTGCAAATCCCCCTTGGAAACTCAAGCTATAGCAGCCTAACTCCGCCCCATCATTTTTTCCAACAGAGCATCCATCCACCCGAACAGAGTCTGCCGCCAACTCTTTTTGAAAATCAAAACTCCAAAGTAACCCCATAATCCAGTGGCAAAACCACCAACTACAAATTCATAGAGGTATAACTTGTCGACTACATTTCCATCATCACCGTGTTCCCCACCATTTTTACCTTTCGGCGGTGTTCTATTAACGTCTTTGCATTGTTGGGCCAATGGAGCCCCACAGAGTCCAGGGTTTCCCTCATAATCCGAACTTCCGTTGAGTGTTTGAAGTTGAGGTCCCGTCGGGATACGCCCAGACAAATTGTTGTTGGACAAGTTCAAATGACTCAAAAAGGTCAACTTTGATAAGCTCTCTGGAATTGTTCCGAACAAATAGTTGTTGGAAAGATCAAGTGATTCGAGAGACACCATATCTCCAATCTTTAATGGGATTTTTCCTCTTAGATGGTTATGAGACAAATTGAGACCCATCAAGCCAGTGAGGTTTGTCAGCTCCAAAGGGATTTCTCCAACTAGTTGATTACTTGAAAGATCAAAATTGATCAATAATCGTGTATTTTGACTATACTCCAGCACCACTCCCTTCAAGACTTCACTGAATGAATTGATCCCATAGAAGTTTTCAATCCCTACAAGGCAATCATTTTCAGTAATATATTTATGTCCCTTCTTCGTGCAAATAACGTCTATACAAGTGTTTATAAAGCTATTCATGTATGCAAATTGCTAAAAACAAATTGGATCATTGATTAAAATAAACAATTTAAAAATTCATTTCATCCAACTAACTCTTAGATCATTCAATAAATATTGAATACACTCACTAATATCATATAACTATTAATATCATATAACTATTATATTAATAAATGCTCACCGAGAGTGGTTTTATCGTGGACCATTCCCGAGAAATTGCCAAAGCAACGTGAGATGTTTCCTGTCAACCGGTTGTTTGCGAGGTCCATTATTTGAAGTTTGGACATCTGACAGAAAGATGACGGTATGTCTCCGTAGAATTTGTTGTTCCTTAGCCTAAGAATTGCAAGATTAAGCAGATTGTTTCCAATCCATTCTGGAACTTTCCCTGATAACTTATTGTCTCCAATATCCAAACCTATTAACTGGGTGCAATTCTTCAAATTTGGGGGGAGCTGCCCTATAAAACTGTTGTTACTCAATTGCAACCATGCCAACCAGGAAGCTCCACAAATGGAGTTTGGAATGGGCCCAGAAAGCTTATTAGATGACAATTCTACAACCATTAAAACTGGAAAGTTGGCCCAACATTCTGGAAGGTGACCTGACAAAAGATTCTTGGAGAGAAACAGATAAAACAAATCTCTCTTTTGGCATAAGGAATCGGGTATCGAACCAGTTATCCCGTTATTTGATAGATCTAAAACTCGGATTCTGAAAGGAAGATTTGGAATAGATCCATCAATATGGTTGTTGGATAAGACTAAATTAGTCAGATTTGTGATGGAATTGAGCCATCTTGGCAGAGTGCCTCTAATGCTACAATTAGATATATACATATAGTGTAGTGATTTTTGTGTTTGAAGCCACTGTGGAAATTGGCCTCCGATATCAATGGATTGCATATAAAGGTATTCTAGTTGAAAAGGAGGCGTCCAGTCATCTCCCACTCTTAATTTGAACTTGTAAGAGTCAACCATAAAGTCTTTTAGTTTGAATAACTTCTCGAAGTGGGTCTCTGTGAGCGTAGCCTCAAAGGCATTATCATGTATGCTAATCCGCTCCAAATCTGAAAGTTGTCCCAAAATAGTTGGGATTGGACCAGACAACTTGTTACTAGACAAAACTAAATCCTTCAACTGCTTCATTTCGCCAAGCTCTTCAGGCAACTGCCCGTAAAAATCATTATACCACAACTCTAGATTCTCCAAGTTGTGGCTACAGCATCTCGATAAAATTTTAAATAATATCGAGATATCTCCATGAAAATGATTATACCCTAGCTTCAATGATTTCAAGTGGCATTTATCCCACAACAGATCAGAGATCCAATCCGTGGTGTAATTAAGTGAGTTAACTTGAAGGTTGAGATATTGAAGATTTGTCGACAGAAGAAAATGAGGGTCCAATGAGGTGTATCGGTTGTAAGAAAGATCAAGAAATAGCAATGAAGTCATGTTACGGAGAAAGCATGGAATACCTCCTTCAAATAGATTTCGACTCAAATCTAGGTGTTGTATATTAGTAGGTAGCGTGGAATTTAAGCAACTAGTATGAGTTAGGTATGTGTTATCAAGCCCACTATTTGACAAGCTTAACATTTCTAAAGAGTGAAGCGTATTGAGTACCGTCGCAAGGTGATCTTTTGTGGTGTTAAGGTTGACATGACTCATATCAAGGGACTCCAGCAATGAAAGATTAGCAGCCCACATGAGATTGTCGACTCTTAGAGAATCCCACATTACACCAAGATCAAGTGCACGCAAGCTTGAGAGGTTGCCGAGCTGGTGAGGGATAACACCTCCAAATCCTGCATTTGAGAGATTGAGATATTGCAGTTGGTTTAATGATCCTAGGAATGATGGAATCGAGCTGCCCATTAAATAATTCCAGCTCAAGTCAAGGTACTTGAGATGCTTCATTTCGAGCAGGGAAAAATCAAGTGTTTCACTTTGTAACATGCTATCAGAGCTCGGGGACGTCGACCCATAATCATCTAGAACTCGATTTCTGAGATCAAGCCCGATAACATGCCCAGTCGCTTTATCACACTTTACGCCTTGCCAAGCACAACATTTGTATCGGGTGTTATTCCACGAATAAAGCCTGTTAGACCCATCCAACAGGCTTGCTTTCAACTTCAAAAGAGCTTTCCTCTCCCTTGGTATACAATCAATAGAAGTAAAATTATTATTTGTTGACAGGCCGAATACGGCGGGCTCAAACATTATTAAGAAGAAGAAGAAGAATAAGATGACGGGGAAGAGCATTGAAGAGAACACCATTTTCCCCGTTTTATACATATGTATTTATTGGATACAGGCTTGGGAAATTAAGGTAGATAGTTGCAGTACTACATTTAACCATAAAGCTCTATTATATAGCCACTGATCATGATGATGTCACATATATGGTTACTACTTGTCATGAATGATAGTGAAACCCGATTACCAAAAAGCACTTGCATTGACTTGACTCCAAGAATAGGAAATAATTGTGGAATTTTTAGCCAATGGACCCTCGGTCGAGTTGACTCGACTAATTAGAGTAAACTACGCAGCTTCTTCGTTTTTTAACTGATAGTAATTTAACAAACTATTATAATTGAGCTCGCTCGTTGGGATGCAAGAGCCTGAATGAATCCAAGCTCCTCAGCAAGCTTATAATATGTATCAACATACCCAGTATATTCCCAACAGGTTGAGGTCTGGGGGGTCAGTTGTACGCAGAACTTACCCTTGTAATTATACAAGGAGGCTGTTTCCATAGCGACCCAAGTTACGTTGCGCCGTTTGATATAATATAATTTTTTGCAACAAATATATATGGTGTAAAACAATTCAATTCACTTGCTAATATACGAGCTCGTTGAAGACGTTTTATGTTTGTCGTCACAGATTTTTAACGTAAAAATATGATTAACTTGTATAGATTCCGAGAGATCAATAATGTTTCATTCAGTTATTCTTAGCATGCATGAAAGTGTTCATAGTGATTAAAGAGTTGTGGTCCTGTGATCCTGGCATAGTCTTTTAGTCTTCTATGTATGTGGAAATGAGTACAAAGTCCCCTTTGTACATCTTGTGGTCATTCTTCTTGCGTGTAACGTTTCTTATCATCTATTGAGTCCTCTATTGGGGACTTCACATTTCTTATCATGTATTTATTTAGTTTGCAAATATAATGTGAGTTTGTTGAAATAATTGTGGAATAATTGTAGAGTCGTCATGGTCGTGCAACATACTTCACAAGTGTCGTATATGATATAAATAATCTATATATCTATATGTATATAATTGTTGGCTGATAGCATTTAATAAAACATTTAATAAAACCTCATTTCGATTTTCCTTCAAAAACCGTTAAAACTTTATCATTTATATTCGTCTCTCTATATTTAATTACAGATAATAAATCTAATAATATTAATTATTGTTTACCATCTTTTTATGTTACAATCTTCTATTATTATTATTATTATTATTATTATTATTATTATTATTATTATTATTATTATTATTATTATTATTATTATATAATTACTAGCTGAATCATTTAATAAAACATTTAATAAAACTTATTTTTATTTCCCTCCAAAAGGAGTTACATTTTTTTAATTAATTACTCACTAATCTGCTAAAACCTTAATATATATTTTTTTATTATTTAATTTTTGGATCAGTTACTAGATTAATTCTAAATTTGGTAGCAAAATATTCAAATGTGTAACGGCTAATGTTTGGAACTTAAAGTTGATTGACACATTCAGAGTTGTAACCGCTATATTTGGTTGCATTGTTGGGAGAAAAATTTGATTGACACATATTTTTTTTTTCCTAAAAATGAGAAACACCAATAATTTTTTTAATTTATGTTAATTTTCTTAATACATGCCACAAATATCTATATATATATAATTGCTAGCTCATGAGCATTTAATAAAACCTATTAAATTATACCTATGTGGCAAAATAATTTTTTCCCTCCAAAAACCGTTACTTTTTATTTATTTAACCTCTCATTTAATTATTAGATAATCAACACACTAATCACTTCAAAATTACAAAAATCATTTTAAATTTTTTATTTTTACAACTGACCATATAATGTGTTGACAATTTAACGTGAGTAGATGTTATTGTTGTGGTTACATCTCAATTAACTTCTCTTGAAAACGTATTTGAAATTCTTAAATAAATAATAAATAATTCACAAAAAAAGATACATACCAAAATATATATTACATCCAATATGATAAACGCAATAAAAAAAAAATAAATATTTCAGCTTCTTTAATTATAAATTTGGCAAAAATCATTGATCATTATATGCATACAAATACTCACATTACTTTATTTATATATTTGTGCAAATGCACAAGTCGAATACTAGTATAACTTATTTTAAACGTTGCATGGTTAAAATAAAATTTAAATCTCAATTAATTTTGAATGATAAAAATAACTTAAGAAAAAACAATAATTTTTATATGATAGAAGTACATGTCTAATTAATAAATACAAACAAACAATGTGTTTTATATCTGTGCAAATGTACATGATCAAATATTAATATAAATAATAGGCAACAAATATATATGTATGGTATTAATCACTTTCATTTATTTTTTAAGTAAAACAAAATAATATGTGTAAGAACTGTTTTGATTTCTGAGTGGAACTTGTTAAGGCTCGCACGAGCTGAGATTGAGATCGATTACAGCTCATCTCGAAATTAGAAATTTCTATGTAATTTATTATAGTTCGATTCGTTAGTATTGAGCTGAGTTGAGTTCGAGCTCGTTTATTGACTCATTAACTAAACGCTCGCGAGTTCAGTTCGAGTTCGGCATGTTAACAGCTCTATGATATGGACATTAATAATATGATTGATATATATCCTGTTTTTTTCATGTGAAACATCAGCAACAACAAAAAGATAGAGATAAGAGTTAGAGATAGAGAACTCCATGCAAATTTTCCTACAGAAAAAAGAAAGTATATATAGGTTGCATATCATAAGTCATGTTCATAATCAGAAATTTTATCTTGCTAGTAGCGAGTGTTCTCGACATTTGAGTTATTTTATCGGTAGAGGTGGCCAAAGCGCGGGCCGGTTCATGGCCTGGCCCGGCGGGTCGGCTGGCCTCAAATGCTAGGCCACGTAACAGGCCCTATATCTAAGGGACGGTTCATTGAACCACCGGTTTAAGAAAAAAAAAAAAATTAAAAAAAAAGTAAAATTATAATTGTGACTCGTCGAAAAATCTAGGCCCGGCCCGGCAAGTCAGAAAGGAGTACAACATGACCCGTAACCGGCCGTTAAGGGGTTTCGGGCTGTTCAAAAACCGGCTAAGGCGGGCCGATCCAGGGCCGGTTCCGGGCCGGTTCAAGCTCTGGGCCAACCGTGGCCATGTCTATTTTATTGGAATTCTTTAAAACGTGGGCTCTCCCATTCTTTTGTGGACCATCATATTGTGATGATGATGTTGAAAGTTTACGTGGGCTTAATAGAATGAGAAGTCCAATTGTGATGGTTATGGTTAGTCTTTACGTGGGCTCCTAAAGTTTTAGAAAAATAATGGGGCTGGGCTTATGGTGAAATGGACTTTAATAAAATTATCTTGAGAAAGTTCAATCCAAAATAATTGTGGATGTGGGCTTCACGTGATTCCTACGTGGGCTGATAAAAAGCACCCGTCCGTGGGGTAATTATCTCCTATTAAAGATGAAGAATTCAATGTAGGGCCATTTGAGATGTACAACAGTCCATCTAAGGTGACTTTGTGGGCTAATCTATTGAGCCAATCAGTCCATCTAAGGTGACTTTGTGGGCTAATCTATTGAGCTTTATTGGGTTCTCATAAGTCGATAAATCCTATCATGTGCTATAAGCCCAAATTAAATAAAGTCAGTGACTTATTCACTTCAAACATGTTGTCCGTGACCAAGTATCAATGGGGCATTTGTAAACAATTAAATTTTGAACCAATTAAATGACAATAAGTGTCAAATTCTACGTCAAAATCAATTTAATAATTTTTCATTTTATTTGAGAAATTAATCAAATTTTAATTCCTAAATTAAATAGCTAATTAATTGATTATTTAATATATATGGTTGTCCGATTAAAGAATTCTGCATGTATATTTTGAAAGCCAATTAAAGAACGTCACGTGTCATTTTCTTGAGGAGTAAAATGAATAATTATTTCTTTTAATAATTATTAAAGGATAAATATTCATGGACCAATCAAATTGAAGTCTTCTTTTTCAAGACTACATCTCCTAATTATCTCTTTAAATAAATATTTAAAAAATAAATAATGAAAATTGTGGACCAGTCAATTTAAGTCTTCTTTTTCAAGACACTCTCTCCTAGCACCTATAAATAGAAACTTTCCCTAAGGTCAAAAATCACAATTTATATTCAAGTACAGAAGTCATATTTAAGTTCAAGGGCTTAGAGAATTATGTCAATGAGATACGAGATTCAAGTGTCCTTGAAGATCTAAAGACGCTCTTGAAGATTTGAAGAAAGATCCGAGCATGTTCAAGCTCAAGACCGAAGACCGACTTTCATCCGAAAACAAGCTACCAAGCCTCTGAATTACGTTATTAAAGTCAAGACCGACGTTGAGAAGATTAAAGATCAGCTTTGCGGCGAAGACTAAGGACTCGTGTTCTTCACGTTCTTGGGAAATTCAAATTGTCAAGCCCTCGAAGAAACGTTAATAAAATTCAAATTCAAGACCGGCGGAGATCAAACTTAAGATTGTCTCCAAAAGTCCCAAGTCTCGTTGAAGATTGTTCTTGAAGAAATTAATCAAAAGAATAATAGAGATATGTGATCCACTATATTTTATTTAATCCGTTTAAATCTATTGTACGAAGTTCTCATGTTTATTAATTTAAAAATACGAAATTTTGCGTTATACAGTTGCAAAATAATCCCCACTAACCCAATAATTATAACACCACCTCATGACTGACTCTAAAGACAAATAAAAGGAAAAAGACCCTTTGGAATGATGGATATAAAAATTTTTGGATTTTTATTTTAATTTTTTTATTTAGTTTGATAAATTTTGTAAAAAGTGATATAACTAGTTGTTACTGGGTATATTAAAATAATATTTAAAATAAAATAATTAGATTTGATGTAAAAAGATGATAGATGATTTGAAGTGATGATTAGAATAATTTATGTTAGTTAATGAACAGTGAATTCAGGTGACGGGATGTGTAAGAATGATTGACTAATATTATTTAATTATATAATATTGATGATAGTGAGATTAAATTAAAATTTAATTAAAAAAATAATTGAATTAAAAATGTTTTTTTTTTTTTTTTTTTTTTTTTTTTTTGAGTAGATTTGTATCCGAGCAACCTATTTGCATTTTCTAATTTTTAAGCTAAGCAAAATACGAAAACTCAGCTATAAAGAACACCTCATTACCTATCATTCCCCCAACAAAACAGAACATAGATCCACCTCCTACACACTTCCAACTTCGTAACGATTCAGCTGTTATTGAGCTTCCGGACACAATCTAATCCTTCGCATGAACCAACTGCGACAGATCCACGCCCACTCGCTGAGAAATGCTACAGATTCCACCCAATACCTCATCACAAATCTCCTCAAGATCCCAAACCTGAGCTACGCCCACAAGGTGCTCGACAATACGCCCCAACCAACCATCTTCCTCTACAACAAGCTCATCCAGGCATACTCCTCCCGTGGGCCCCACTCCCGGTGCCTGTCCCTCTATTCCCAGATCCTCGCCCGGCGCCTGTCCCCGAATCCCAACTCATTTACCTTCCTCTTTGCCGCCTGCGTGGGCCTCAACACCATTCGCCATGGCCAGATGCTCCAGACCCATTTTGTCAAGTTTGGGCTGGGCCACGACGCCTATGCCTCCACCGCATTGGTTGACATGTACGCCAAGATGGGCTCTCTCCATTTCGCGAAGAAAGTGTTTGAAGAGATGGAGGGTGCGGATACGCCCACCTGGAATTCCCTGATCACGGGCTACGCCAGAAACGGGCTTCTGGAGGAGGCCCGGCGCCTTTTTTCCGAGATGCCACGTAGGAATGTGATTTCGTGGACGGCTTTGATATCCGGGTACTCCCAGAATGGAAGGTACCGGGAAGCTCTTGAGACGTATCTGGAAATGGAGAGAGAGGGACAGGTCAGACCTAATCAGGTGACCGTGGCAAGCGTTTTGCCTGCATGCGCGAACCTTGGTGCGTTGGGGGTCGGGCGGAGGATAGAAGCCTATGCTCGGGAGAATGGGTATTTTGGGAACATGTTTGTGAGCAATGCGGTGCTTGAGTTGTACGCGAGGTGTGGGGCAATCGAGGAGGCCGAGCGAGTGTTTGAGGAGATTGGGGGGAGTAGGAATCTGTGCTCTTTGAATACTATGATCATGGGTTTTGCGGTCCACGGGAGGTGCTGTGGAGCCCTCGAGATTTTTGACCTGATGATGAGAAATGGAATTTCCCCCGACGATGTCACCTTTGTGGGGGCAATCCTGGCATGCACGCACGGGGGCCTTGTCAGCAGGGGTCGAGAACTCTTCAACTCCATGGCGGGAAAATACTCCATCACTCCAAAGCTCGAACACTATGGGTGCATGGTCGACCTCTTGGGCCGGGCTGGGCTACTGCAGGAAGCCCACGACCTCATAAAAGCTATGCCCATGAAGCCCGACTCGGTTGTGTGGGGTACATTGCTCGGGGCCTGCAGTTTTCACGGAAATGTTGAGATAGCCGAGAAGGCTGCCGAGTCGCTCTTTGTCCTGGAGCCGTCGAATCCAGGTAATTACGTAATTCTTTCAAATATTTATGCGAAAGCCGGCATGTGGGATAAGGTCGCGAGTCTAAGAAAGATGATGAAAGGGTTTAATGTGAGAAAGGCGGCCGGGCACAGCTTTATTGAGGAGGGGGGTCGGCTGCATAAGTTTATTGTGGAGGACAAGAGTCATTCGAGTTCGGACGAGATCTTTAGGGTATTGGATTGCATTGGGGCAGAAACTGGTTTGGATTCCATCATGGAGGACATACGCTTTATGGAATTTTGTTGATACTTTTTTTTTTTAAAAAAAATCTAATGTGAAAATTGCTTGAAGTGTGTTGTTCTTGGGAGGCAGGCAGATGAAAAGCTTCTGGTTAAGAGGCGAGTGAAGTTTTCCCACTGAATGATTTTATCAACTTATCTGAGAAAGTATTTTTTTTATTTTTTTATTTTTTATTTTCAAAAAAAAGATCCACCTCCTTGCTTGTTTAGAGTAGAGCATTAAACAAAAAAATAAAATCTTTGGGAAGAAAACTCCAATGGCTGAGAGCAAGGAGGAGAACGTTAGGCTGGGCGACACCAAGTTCACTGAAAAACAGCCGCTGGGCACAGCCGCCCAGACGGACAAGGACTACAAGGAACCGCTGCCGGCGCCGCTGTTTGAGCCCGGCGAGCTGAATATTACTATATTGACGGTGATGGGTGTTGGGAGGTCACCCAATAAGTGTGACTCTGTGGGGATTCAGGGGATTGCTTGGGCCTTTGGTAGTATGATCTTTGCCCTTGTTTACTGCACTGCTGGTATCTCAGGTCAGTGTTTTATCTTTTTGAATATCCCTTTTAACAGTTTAGTTGTATTTTTCTCTTCTTGGCCTCTCATGCCTGGTTTTTGTATTTTGCTAATTAAAGATTCAAATTTTTTTTCTGTTAGTTCAGCGAGATTTGATTTTGTGGAACCTCTGATGGTAGTTTTTGAATTTATGGGTTATTTTATGTCCTGGATCTGTGGCCTTGTTCCATTGTTCTTATGATGTTTGTTTGGGTATTTTAGTGTGTTGTGGACTTTAAAGGTTTAATTTCGTTGGTAAATTCAAGAAACTTCCTACTTAAATGTTGTGCATCTCATCAAAGAACTTGGCATACTTTCAAAGAGACAGAGGTTCCAGATTCAGCCTAGCTGCTGAAAATATTAATCCATTTTTCTAAAAATAAACAACAAATTAATGGGTATTTTGTTATTTCAATGTTTCTGATTACGTGAAAACTTAAGAGTTATTCCTTATGTTTCTTTAATGTAGATGAAAAATTGTAATTAACTATGAATATTGTGTTCATGTTCTTAACAGGAGGGCACATCAACCCAGCTGTGACCTTTGGTTTGTTCCAGGCAAGAAAGCTCTCTTTCACTATGGCCCTTTTCTACATAGTGATGCAGTGTCTCGGTGCCATATGTGGAGCTGGGGTTGTGAATGGAGCTGGGGTTGTGAAGGGCTTCATGGAGGGACCCTATCAGGCCCTTCAAGGCGAAGCCAACTTTGTGAACCATGGCTACACTAATGGCTCTGCCCTTGGTGCAGAAATCTTCGGAACCTTTGTTCTTGTCTACACTGTCTTCTCAGCTACGGATGCCAAAAGAAGCGCCAAAGACTCACACGTCCTCGTATGTCTTGTTTTTTTTTTTTTTTTTTTTTTTTTTTTTTTTTTTTTTTTTTTTTGGCTTTGGTTTATTTCTCTTTTTGATAAAATTTACTTAATGAAGTAACCATGTTTGATGAATTTAGCATTAGGTGATTGTGTTCTAGCTAGTTAGTTGGGCCGGATTTTTGGCAACCATTAACCCTTTTCATTATTAACTCTTACCGTTTTGTTGTGGACAAAACAGTTAATTGTCCTAATGAAGTTCGACACGGAGCAATTATATATACTACTGGAAAACTATAGCTTCTTTGAGTTATTGGGAAAATGTTATTCTAGTTCTCATATTCTAGCATTATATAAATACTCATGTTTTTGTTTTTAAGGAAAAAGAAAAAGAAATTGAAGATGATTATTCATCGTAAACCAAATGGCAAATTATATTAGATTTTATCTTAATCACATGGTGTATTAGTAGATGTGTAAAGTTAATCAATTTCTTGCTTTTCTGGTATCAAGGATGGGGATTATATTCCAAACTTATTGAGGTGTTTTGATTATGCGTAATCTGTTTTTGCACAGATTTTGGCTCCTCTCCTATTGGGTTTGCCGTGTTCTTGGTTCACTTGGCTACCATTCCTATCACTGGCACTGGCATCAACCCTGCCAGGAGCCTTCGAGCCGCCGCCATAATTTACAACAGGGACGATCACGTAAGATCTGAATAACTCATCTCATCTACATTTATTGAAATATAACATCTTTCCTTCAGGCCATACAATTATAGCAGTAATTAGTAACCACTTTGAATTTTTATGCAACTTTTTTGTGACCCGAAGCTGCTGTTTATTTATGTTTAGTGGATCATCTGGGTGGGACCGTTCATCGGAGCAGCTCTTGCGGCCGTGTACCACCAGATTATCATCCGAGCCATCCCATTCAAGAGCAACCGGTCTTGCTAAGATGTAGTGCTGTTAAGTTACACGAGCGTGGCTCGGCTCGGCTCGAGTTCGAGGCCTTAACGAGCCGAGCTCGAGCTCAGTTAAAGCTCGAATGGTTAACCGCTCGGCTCGATAAAGCTCGTTAAGGCTCGAAGAATTTACATATATTTTTTATAGTTCGGCTCGTTAAAGCTCGAGCTCGAATTTGGTCTCGTTTACTTAATGAGCCGAGCTCGGCTCGACTCGTTAAGTGCTCGAGCTTGAGCTCGAGCACCTTAAGTTGTATGCGTGTATGCGTGTGAAGTGTTATTCTGTCTTCGTGTATGCGTGTGTCGAGGCCTTAACGAGCCGAGCTCGAGCTCGAATTTGGGTCTCGTTTACTTAACGAGCCGAGCTCGGCTAGCTCGAGCACCTTAAGTTGTATGCGTGTGAAGTGTTATATGACGAGCTCGAGCACCTTAAGTTGTATGCGTGTATGCGTGTGAAGTGTTATTCTGTCTTCGTGTATGCGTGTGTATGAAGATATCAATCTGTGTGAATTATGAGGGGAACTACATGTACTTATGCTTTGCTTGTTTGTTGTATCTAACGAATGAAGAAGCATTTTAATTATTTTCCTGTTCTCTTGCATGTTTGATTTCAGCATCTGAAATCTTGTTATTTCAACAAGAAGATTTTATTAAAAAAAAAAAAAAAAAAAA